GTGAAGTACAAGACAATTGACCTGCTAGCAAGTTATAAATACTTTGGCAATAGTCTTGTAATTCACTCCTGAGGATGACGTTGTAACGTCGAAACATGTAGAGTCGTCAACTTTTTGAAGGCCATAGCTAGGCCTAAATAAAATGTTTTTAATTGTGTACCAGTTTAACGTTGAATATTATTTATGATTTTAACGAAACTTTACGTTAAGCCTAGAGTACGAACACAAGCTACCGCGACACAGCGCACAAGAACGTGAGCTATTTCACTTATTTTTAGGTATATTGATCAAATGAAGTAAACCTTAAACGAATTCAACCTGTTTTAGGTGTCGTCTTTCTGATCAGTGATATAACAATTGCACATTTTGAAAGCATCTTAGATGCCTACTAAATGTGGACATCAAAGTGATTAGTTACTAATTACATAATCTAAAACGTTAATAATTCAACACATTTTACGTTTATTTCAGTTCAATGACTTTACAAACGTATTAAGACGTGATGATTTTTATGGCTGCATGAAAACCGAGGCAACTCACGATGTTCCATTTGGTCTTTAGAATGATTTTTTTAAAGATGTAATTTATTATTCGTGATAAAAAAAAGATAGGTTTTATGTAAATTACATTTAATGAAAATTGTGACTGACAGTTACGTGTCATCAGGGTAAACTTATGCCATATTAAACACGGTAAGTGATTTCAAGTCCCTGCTTTAGTAGTTGCTATGCTCTTAGTAACAAACTACACATTGGGCTATCTGCACTGGTGGGACTAGAACCCATGATTTTAGCGTTGTAAGTCTGTAAACCTACTACTAATCCACTCTCCCCGGGAAGCAACTGCTTTAGAATTAAACAGGATAAAATTGTGAACAGAAGATTAAAACAACTGTGATAAGCAATCTTCGGTCATCAGAAACTTTAATAATCAATTGTGTGAGACACGCGTGAAAAACTTGTGTAACTTATGAAACTTTACTTCCTAACAGGAACCAACAAACGAACTAGGGAAAAGCAACAGCAATGAGGGTAGACCTTTGGAGAAACGGAAGTGATAAGGGTAGACCTAGAGAAAAGCAACAGTGGTGAGAGTAGACCTGGAGAAAAGCAACAGTG